ACTTCAGTGTAGGTAATATAATAATCTTTTAACCTTGGCCTTACTGTGGTAGACGAGGAAACATCTCTCGCCTTATATATTTGAGGGGCAGATTATAGTTTCAGGAAGGAAAATTGCTCCTGTATTAGTAAAATGAAAATGAACTTAGTAACTTTGACATAAGGGCTAAATTTTAACATCTAACAATATTTTATTACGTTGATAAATTGTATTACAATAAATGTGTGGTTTATGAGGAAAAACATACATTCTGCATATCGTATGCATTAAACATATCGTGAGATAATAAATGTCTGCGACTTTGTTCGATTAGTATGAATTCATATGAGAAATTAAAATGAAACAAATAGAAAGATGTAAATATAACGATAACAGTATAAGGGACATATATCGTTTGACTTACACAAAAAGTGTCATGAATAACCATACTATTGATATCGAATAAAGTATATTTATTATACCAGATTTGGATCGAGGGTCTAATTCAATAACCCAAAGTGTAAGTCTAATTCCCAAAACATTCAACAACATACAAACAGATAAAATTAAAATGTTAAAACGACGTAAGAAAAAGGAAAAACACTGAAAATCGCATATATAATAAACCAAGTTCAAAATTGTACTTGGTGCAGTTTTTGAAATTCATAAACAAGACTGTAAAGTTCGTGTATAGAAAAATAACAGAAAGTAATAAAACGTGGCAGTTGCGCAGTTTCGTGAAACAGTAATAAAAATGCGAAGGAAAACATTCGTCATGACATTGACCACTGCGTCCTTGCGACTGCAAACAGACTGAAGAACGGGTACATAAGAAAACACCGCAAATATTTTTATAAGACAAATAATGGTGTAAATTATGAGCAGGGAGCGTTTGTACGCGATTATAAATTATCACTGTCATAATTTATTGTTTGTAACAAACTAATAAAACAATATCAAACAAGCCAAGTCGCTTGAGGGAAAACTGTAAGTACTAGTTGTAGAATTGTGAACAATATGAGATACTCGTATACTGGTGCTGATGACAAAATGTCACATATTTTGGCAATACCTGAGAACTGAGATGGGCACATCTTCTGCAATATAGTTCAATAATTGTACATTATGATGAGTCATAGGTGTTCTAGGACATAGAAATTCTGATGTTTTCAGAGTTAGATCTTTCGAAATTTTGATATATTCTGATTTTTGATACACTTGCATTTAGTTGCATTATAATTTATATTGATTTTAGTGTAGTCATTTCATTCTATCATATTTTTTACTTGGTTTCATCTTATTTCTTGGAGAATATAGAAAAGATTTTACTTATCTAAATTATTATATGCTTATTTACGCAATATATCGAACCTCAAAAATTACATGTTTCTAAATGCAGATTAAATAATTTTAGCTGTACATTGATCTGCCAAAAATGAAACTTTCCTCTCTGCTTACTAGTTTCCATAAAGCTGGAATCTCATCGATATTAAATTCTAAATGAAATTAATTTAATTTTGCTATATCTATTCTCAATTACCAATTTGTCTGGGGATCGACAAAAACGCAAATCGCTGGCCATTTGCGTCGTGCACCCGAGCACCCAATGTCGCTGTAAACAAGTACACAATGGTGTATGCGTAACGAACGAACAGCTGTTCTATCACAATGGAAAGTCGCGTTCGCCTGTTACGCAAACGACTTCATGGTGTTTACAAAACAACACGCTAAATTTTCAAATACGTTCAATACGTCCAAAACGTTTTGACTCATAGTTACAAAGAACTTGCTGGTGACTTTTTAGAAAAAAAAAAAAACATTATTAGGTATTGAAATTTAAAATCGAGACGAGCACGTATCGAGAACTTTACATACAATGTACAATGTATATTTTAACACAATATGAGAATGGCAAACAAGTTGATATAAATTAACCATGAACAATATGATTTTACTGCATAAAACCGCCTCGGCTGTAATAATATTAATAAACGTTAGCGATTGTAAAAATATTTACAAAAATCGGGTCCGCATTAGTGAAAACGTCACGTTACGTACACACACACAAAAAACAGTAACACTGTAAAAATAAAAGTAAAAATCAATTGACAGTGTCGACGATATCATGTAACATAGACATAAGAACAAAGGTAATAGAATTTGTAAGGCCCTCTTTAATTAATGAAGTCTATTGAAAATATAGGTCGACTATAGTCATTACAAAATTGTAACGTAAATATAATTCCCGTTTGCATTACAAAGTTGAAGATTAAGCCAAAAAGCTTTTGGACATAGATAAATACAATGTTTTTACAGTTTTTCACAGTTATGAAGTTACAACAGACGTATTTTTTCTTGATGACCATAGAAAAACTGAAAAATCGGAACGTGGACTACAGCATACAACCACAAAAGAGTAAATAACCCGTGGTCCAACGGATTTTTTTTATGGGTGAAAATGGTATGGTAACCCTGCGCTAACAGGATACGCTGGCGGAGCACCAGTGAATGGTGATAGATGAGAATAAAAACAGGCCAGTTAACTCATCCTGATGAATTCATCAGAAATTAACCATGATAGTTTCCAGGGAGAACCGCGAGGAGGTCGACCTGGTTGGGTATATTGCTAGCAATGGGATTCTCAGTCTCTATTACTAACAATCCCTTTCCCCCCTAAAGGGTCCATCCAACGGATTTGGGATACTCTAAACGATTGACAATTTAGAACGCGCTCCTCTCCAAATTTTTTTAGACTGTAATAGAACACTCTAGGCTAAGACAATAAAATGATGTTCTATCTACTAGGCAGCAATTACGAGCATACATAAACAAAAATTAAAGAAGTAGAAGAACACATACTATTATCCTAATATACACGGGCAAAGCCGTCCGCTTTTTAAAGCATTTTTTTTTATATCATTGACGAACATCTCTTAATTAGTAAATCATTTGAAAGATCGTAAAAGTTTTAATGGTCCTATAAATATGTATTGGCAATGTCGGTCTTTCAAGGATGAAATAAATATTTTAATAAAGAGACTTTAATTACTTTCTAATCATTAGAGTCAACTTGGTGAGAAAATAAAAATAACACGAAAGAGAAAACGAAAAATAATTGTAGATAAAAAAGCTACTTCAATCAAGACAAAATTAATGAACACTCAAATAAGAGTAGATGATCGTAATGAAATTATCAAAATGACTTCAAATTTAACGTAGATATTAATTAACACACACTCAAAACAAATAAATTGAATCTCCCTTCTTTTTGAAGTGGTTTAAAAAAATTATAAAAGTAGTCAAACTGTCCATGACTGCATATGTGTTTATGATTCATTTATAACTGTAACAAATTTCATTTAAATTCATTTAAACATTTAAGCATGATAACACAAATGTCCATGGTTATTTGATTAAAATTATTTTGTTTTATTCCGCTACCATTAGTATGTGTGTGACTGCCAAGACTTGAAGATTGGCCATCATCATTACTTCCAGAACTTCTACAACCTTCCATATTAGCTCTTAATCCCTGACTGCCATTTTATCCATGCATGTTTTGCGACACATGTTTCACCTCTAAACGAGAGATCATTCAAGAAAATTGTTAGGTAGAGCCTAATATTAACCGTTCGGCACCCAAACTGCGAATGACATTTTTTCATGATGATGAATGGTGATAATCTTCGAGTGTTGATTATCACCATTCATCATCATTAGTAGTGAAATTAAACAAAATCATTTTAATCACTAAACCAGTGATATGAACTTACACAATGTAACGCCTATTTCAGTAAAATAAACGTGTCCATATATAATAGGTATTAGTATGGCGAAACAAGAGCATGATACCTTCGGCACTAAATTTTCTGTGCTTGCCCTGTCGTGTAAAATAGATAAAAACTTTAACTTCTCTTCTTATGGAAGCGATGTCGCATAAACCACAGGAAAGCCTTATATTTTGTATGTAAGGATATCCTTTTCGTAGTTTTTTGTGCCTACCCCATAAGGTAGATGGTGTAAACTAGAAAATACACAATTGCGGCTGTTTATTCTACTCTTAATAAACACATTAAAACAACCTAGGATTTCAAACTGCATCTATTTCTAGTCAGTCTGTATGTATAATGATAACAGGTTATTGCCCAACGATGGAACACAATATTTCATAAAGCTCGAAATAAGTATGCAATGCAATTTAAACAAGATCTTTCATTCGTATAAAACATTAAATCAAAAAGGCCGAGAAGTCCTTCAAAAGAACCAACTTTGGAATTTATAAGTACAGCAATGTTTGTCATGTTTAAACCCTTATTTAATATTACAAGAGTGAAAGTGAATTTGTTTATTACCTCTTAACGGTTTATCCCGGTCAGTGAACACACCCCGGTCACGCTAACGAAGTACGGGTAAAAGCTAGTTAGTTAGTCATAGGTAGGTTTACACCGGTATGCACATACGTATGCTTATCAAATTTTAAAAACACTTCTTCAACTTTACATATTCTCGTATTTATCAATGATAATTTAAAAAGTGCCCTTATAGTGAACTAATCATCAATTTTGATCATGTAATGAGATTTTCATTTGTTCACACTATAATTTGATGATAAAAAATATTTAGTAACTTCAATGCTATACATGAAATGTTTAATAAGATGCTAGTGATATATTAATGTGCAATTTGACTTTACAATTAACATTTCAGAGCAATATCATTTTTTTGTTTGAATAATCATTCATAACTAATCGATTCTGAAAATTGACAGATAACATATATGTTACCAGACTTCGATATAACGCTCTTAAGAGAAGTTTGTTTTATGTTAGCCACATGTGATATTTTAAATAAAAAAATTATATTAAAATCAAGATTGGATACGTTAGGAAAATTGTTATAATGAATATTAAAAACTCTATATAGATTGTATGAATAAATAGACGGAAAGTGTGTTTAAACGAGCACCGGCAAGCCTCGACATGGCGATTTACATAAATCAAAGCAAAATAAAACAACTCCGATACAAGGACATGGTATTTATTATATAAAAATAGTGTGCGAACGTGTAACTCATGTCTCACGACATACACAAACAAATGTTAAACCTATGTTTTTATTTATAAAATGCATTCACTCAATAAGTAATTATAAAACATAGCCTACTTTGTTTATAATATAGTGAGGTTGTATCGTTGAGTTTTACAACCACGATTGGCGCCACGCCCTTTCGAAATCCCAATACAATTACAGGTACAACATTGGACGAGAACATTATTAATTCAATCGACTTTGTTTCCGATTCTACGGTCATTGGGTTATAAATATAAAAACCTTCATTTTCGATAGTCAACGTACATTAACAATGTAACAAATAACAAAAAGAAGCTATTGCCCTCTTCCTTTTAGATAAAAAAAAGTATATATAAATCGAAGGAGGCCCAACTTCAAAGAAATTCAATCCCAAAGAGATAATTGTAAAGTCGATAAATATATCAATTGACATAGACCCACTAATGCACGGTAAAATCTGAATTGAAAACAGATAATAACTCCTCGTCTACGCTGCACATGTCACAGAGAAAAAAAAATAAGTAAAGCAAGAACCGATTTATCATGTCGTCCCACGCACGCGCCGACCAATATAAGCAAACACAGCATAAAAATAAAAAAGGAAAACATCAAAATAGCCCGTAGAGTGTAAAACCCAACGATAGAGACTGCGTACGAGTTTACAGTCCATGAATAACTTAGTTATATTCACATTATCTACATTATGGAACTTTATCTGGTATCACTTACATTGTTGGACCCTTGCTTAAACAAAAAAGTTAGACAGTGAGACGTACCGTAAAGTTTCAATTCGCTGTTTATCAATGAAATAAAGTTAATATATAACCTTATTGTAGTATGTACTGCGACGGTTGAATTAAAAACATGTAAGTTTATATTTAATTACGCGACTGAAATTGAAAAAAAAAAAGTAACTACATTGTTATTTCGTTATGTCAGCAACGTGACTATACCGGCTTTTTTACACAACAAATACAAATATAACTTCACACTTGCATCGCGCTGACTAGTAACAAAAAGATTCGTAAATTAGCAGTGTAATGTTCCATTCGAGATAATAATTCAATAACGACAAAATTTAAAGAAATTTCATTTCTTTATATCTCTATCTACATACATAAAGTGAATGACCGTGGAACAAAGCATGTTCAAACCACGATGTGAACCTAAAATGCATTAAGAGAATTCTATCGAACATTCAACAATGCGACTCTTATGCAATGATAACGATTATACAGAAATACGATTACAACTTACTGACGTTAGTCACGCAACGTGCAAGGAAATAACCGTAGTTTTATCGCTTCGAATGACAATACGTGAAATAAAAATATTAATGGATTTTGGTTATGGTTACGTTCTATCGTTGTGAAATAATGAAGTGCGTAATAAAATTGATGTATTCTGAAAGTGTCCACCTGATAACGATGATGTATGAGGACGGATTTATAATGACGATAACTTGGTGATTTGACATTGATGTAGTGTGACTCGATATTATACTATATGCATACACATATCGATATACAACACTACTACATATATTTCCCGCGGTTAATAGAACAGCATATATCTATAATTTAATCGTCAGCGATTTCATGCATTATTTCGTCAATTAAACTATCGAATTGTATAGGACTATTCAAACAATGGATAATAATTTTTTATTTTATATTCGAATATTTGGATGGATTTTATTACAGAATAACATTACAATTTGGTAAACCACAAATATGTAAAATACGCTTTTATGGTAAAAGTGAACCATGAGTAGAGTGTGATGAAAAAAGTCATTAGAGCCACAGAACGGTGCGCGCGCGCACGAAGCGCCACCCGGAACGGCGTGCGCGGTGAAAACCGCGGGAAACCGCAATAGTGACTGCACTGTCGATGCCGCAGCCGCGAGAACCGTGTCAGTAGTGTGAAACGCTAATTGCGCGCACCGAGTTATATGACGACTGCACAAGATACTTGTCTACAATCTATTCACTTACTTAAGTGGTCCATCTACAACGATTTCCTTCTACGTTTACATGAATGACAGCAAGATATTAATTTAATATTTATGGTGTCATTATTGCAGGTAACCTACATGATTTTACGCAACCAAAACAATTGATAAACAGCGAATTATGTTGTCTCCAGATAAAGTCCCCCGTCAGCTTCCCAACATTATTGTTAACAATAAATTAAATTTAGAATCTACAGGAAACTGATACGGAGATCTGAATTTGAATGCATCGCTATATGAATATATGCTCTATGCGTGCCTCGCTGTGACGATTTGAGTCCAGCTCAAATGGCGAGCCTAGAGATCTCTGAAATACTCAACGACAACGAAGCTTTCACTAATTACATCGATAATTCGATCACAAAGATTTCAGGCAGTAACTAAAGCTAAATCACAAATATTTCGGGAAGGCTCGCCGGCAACGAAAGTCGTCGTGAACCCCGCCTCCGATACATCCTCACATTTTTTGCCATCCTTTTTCACACAAGATTCAACTTTGTCACTGTTCAACGCACTGTTCACTTTATGATCGTAGCTTGCAGTTATAAATTTGTTCACAGCACTTTCACTTTTATCGGCAAAAAAGGAGCGGCGGTCGGAGTTCGTTGCTGAAGGCGAGGTCGAAAATAATTTAATTTCTAGATCGCGATGTCCATTCATAGAAGTGACGATCTCCGAAGATATTTCCAAAGCAAGTGGAGAACGTGGCTCCGGAGAGCTAGTTCTTCTCGTGGGTGGGAACAAAGAGTACAGGTTAGGTGCTGAATAAGTATCACTGCTGTTAGCTTCGCGTCGTTCTGGGGCACGAGAGGATGGATCACTCCAGCTACGCCGTAATGTAGTATCTGCCCCTCGTCTGCCTAAAGGCCCGACAACTTTCATAGAGTCCTCCAATTTAGTAGGAGCAAAATCCACACTAGAATTCTCGTCGAGCAAATCTGCAATTGAATCAGCGTCCCATATTTGCCCCACAGGGTCACAATATCGACACTGACACGAACTAACAGCAGATTCGGCTGGCGAAGCGGCCTCCGCCAAACCAAATCGTGTAGCTTCTAAAGCTTCTCCCAGCGCGGAAACCCTGTATGTCTCTGGCACTGGATCAGAAAATTCCGTCACTTTAACGTCCAAACGATACGGCAAAGACATTTCACGGCAATAAGTATCCTCATAAATACTATGCGGCGCAGACGCAATTCCCGATAACGAACAATGTTCTACTTCACCGAGATCCAAACCAGCAGCGCTTAAATCATGTGGTGTCATGTTATTAGGTTTCCTATCCTTTTTGCGTCGCTTTCGCGGTTTAATTATCCTGGGCAACATTGTTTCAGAATTTGTCGAGCCGGAACTCTCATCGCTCGCGACACTAACCGCATCCGTGTTGTTATTGCGTACACTACGCGAAGAACGTGTTTGTTGTTGTTGGTTACGAGGCCGGTTTCCCTCAGAGGCTTCACAACGATCTCTAATAACATGCTCAGTGTGTCCAGTAACAGGCCGATGGTTACGCTGCTCCGGTGTGGTGGTGTACTTTCTTCGATCGTGTTTATTTTGTATGATGAGGGGTGCTCCTTGTGCATGCATCGCTAGTTTGGACACAGGAGTATTCCGAGAAGGTGGTGGTGCGCGTCCGGCCATGGATATAAGGGGCGCACCGAGCCAAGCATTCGGGTGCGGCACACCATAGGGCGGATAGTAGGGTGGCGGGAATCCCGGTGCGGTGGTGGCATACTGAGGGCGAGCGGGTTCGCGGCGCCCGAGGGCGACACGCTCGCCCGGACTCATCACGCCAAAGGGGGCGTTTAACCCATATTCGAAAACGTTCGGTTCACTGTCACGGTAAAAGACCGAAATGCGTCGCGATATCGTAATCGTACACTAACATCTGTTGTACAAGCGAGAACGTGCGTGCGCTCGCCGCAGTAGTCGGCAGAGAACTAAAGTGAATGAGTGCGAAGCGGCCGCGGCAGCGAGTGTCGAGTGGGAGTGCCTTCTCGCGCCACGCGACTATCGCAGACGCGCGACGCGTCGCCGATGCACCGGAAAGCTTTGCAGCCCTAATTGCTTTACAATTAAATGAGCCGTTGTTTACTTTCTTAACGTTCTTAGAGACGTTCAAATAGACATTAGATATTTATTTTCCCAATTAATTTTGTTCATATTATTTATTAAAAGTGATGACAACTAATTAAATATATTTTAATAGATATCTTTAAAAGGTCTATATCAAAAGATTTTATTTATGAGAAAATGTTACGGTATCAATTTATTATTTTTTAATTTTATATTTGTTTTGTTGTTTGTTATTTATAAAGACGAATTTTACGAAAATTTATATTTTGAAAACTGATATTTGTTCTATTTTTCGCAATAGTATATATAAATAAATTATAAACTTTCACTATACGAATAACACTATTATAATTAATTCGCATACAGGTAAAAAGAAAAAAACTTATTTGATTTTCAACATAAATTATAAATAGAGAAAACTGTATTAAATATTAATTATTCACTATAAGTACTTACGAATACAGTGTCCTAGGCGCAGCAAAGATTGCAGAGAGGACTTACCTAAAACAATAAAATAATGTTCATTAATGTCAAATGTCATGAATCAAAACAAGTACAGTAACGTAAATGCGTCCTAAACGTCTCTGCCATAAGTTATAGGGTAATTCTTGCAAGCAGCGTTAATAAAATTTTTATTGGACCGTAAATTGTTTACAAAACATGCATGGTTGCTTATGTAAATATTTGTTACACAACAAATTGAGGACATCGAGATCCTGTATACATCCGATGAGGTGGCAACGAAACTAATACTTTCGATCTAATGAAATCAAATATTTTTATTTACATTCACATTCTGAATTTTATACTTTATAGTTGTTTAAGTTAATATAAAATGGCAGTCTTTTGATTAAATTACAAGAAAACGGTACGAGACTTTATAGTTAAAAATAAAAATATTAAAGGATTTATTGAAATATACTTTTAAAACTACATTTAATAGAGTAAAATATTTGCTATATGTATAATTATTAGTTTGTATATAATTAAAAACGCATGGCATATATAAATACTCCTAATATTCAGTTTATTGTTAAAGATTATTATGTTATACACTTAACACTTAGAAAAGTATTGAGAGTATTATTTTTTTAAAACTTTTATTTGGACTTAATTCTTTGAAGTTAGACCATGACATCCTATAAGATATCATGGTCTAACTAAAATTTTAAAATAAGGTGTAACAAATAAGATTACAACATCAATCGCATTCTGCATTCTATATATTTTTACGAACGTGTTGTATACATTTTGTAATTGATTTCAACCGTTTTATTCTATACATGCAAATTAAACGTTCTGATGGTTTAGTAAACCAGTCTACTTGAAATATTACTTTAATTATAAAGGATTTCCAAAGAAGGTAAGTCATATTCATTCCGTCCATATTCTTTATAATATAGCTATTTTTTTTTTTATTATTTGTTGTTTATCTTTTCTTATTTACTTATGATTATTATGTGACAAGTTGACAATAATACTGCAATTTCATATAGTAACCTTTATATTGTACCTTTTCGTTATTTGCTCTGATCAAAGGTCATCAAAGATCTAACACAGTATTCCCTTTTTTCATTTCATTATTTTTGTGCTATTATCCATGTTTAAATAATCCCTGTTATTCACAAAAAATAAAACATCTATAATATTATTTTATCACTATAAATCAAAATGACAATTAAGCGTAAAAGAAAGAGACAAAACAGTGTAACTAAAATAGGTTTATAGGAGGTTTGACGTTTTCATGAATAAGGGGATATGGTTTTCTACACGGGTACAGTTATTAACAAATATCTAAGATATGCGCCACCTGTGTACTAAATTTAATTAAAATTGTAAAGTCGTTTATGAGGGATTGAGTAACAAATGCCTTAATAAACTTTCACATTTCTATAATATGATAGAACTAAGTTAAATAATTTATAAATTATAAAGGGACAGGTAAAGCGACCTTTTACGCCCATATGCGTGTAAGGGGGGCCGCGAGAAAGTGAACTCGGTGATTCAGAGGCCTCTCTCTCGATAACCGTCAACTGAACATCTTTTAGCAAATGCACATATGTACATATGCGCGTCCATTTAGCATATTCATACACCAACACGAGGCGGAACTTTCATCGCGATAATATCGAAAGTTGTGGCGGATCTGATGACTTGTTTGTTACACTATAATTGTTTTAATGGTCATGTTGTTTTACGATTTGAGTATAAGGTATGAAATTTAAATATTTTTATAATATGATCACCGCGAAATCGTTTACGGAATTCGTTTCGTTCTACACGTATTAAAATCATGAACCTTGCAAATAGAATAATTTAATCATAGAAAGTTTTGCTGATCTCATAATCTTTTTCCTCTCTTTAATCCATTTTCTGTCACATTTACAATTTAAAAATTTCTGTAGTTTAATACTTAACAAATTTTTAAGTGAGCAGCGATCATTTTTACCGACAAAGCCAGTAAATAATACGAAGATTTTAGAATATGGTACATGGACATACAAAATTACACTTGAAACTACTTTTGTTATTTTAATAATTGGCGTGGATTCGAAGTTGACTTAAATCAACTTTACTCTTAAGTCAACATGATTTCTAAGATAAACAATCAACAATTAATTAACAGTAATCACTAACAAAGAAACAGGACCTTGTATTCAAATTGTGCTCTCATATTTAATCCCTGAACTAGATGCTGAATTCTTAATAATTCTTTATTAATGCACATTTGTTTGGTTACACTACACTCAGGACACTATAAAAATGGCGTGAACCAGAGCTATTAATACTATGTCATTGGCTATGACAAGGATTGGCCAAACTGTAACCCTATTATCACATACTCTGTTTACTGTTGCTCCATAAGAAAATCACTAGAAAACCAAAAAACTTAACATGAGATCTCACAAATTTTCATAGCAAGTGGAAGCAAGATTCTTTTTATTACCAAATGTAGTCTTCTGAGAGTTCACATATATTATTTATCTGCATGGGTAAGTAAGTACTTATGACTGCGTACTTTTGCTTAGAATGTTAAAATTTGACAGAGTAATTATTGGATACTGAAGCATATAGATCTTCGCTCTAAGAAATAATTAAGCATGAGGAACCTCCTCATCACAGTGTATTTTCTAATGTTCATTGTGCTGCTCATGTCTGTAGACGGCGCTTATTACTTTCCATCAGATTAAATTTTCACCTTATTTGCCATTTTAAGTATGTAGGTACATAGTCTAACAAAAAGACAATATATTTTCAACGGGATAACCTTTATTCGCACCTAAATTTAAAATTAACAATTGTTATAGAACGCGAATAGGCACTTAGGAAGTCTTGCCATAAAATATCACGCTGTGGTGTAAGAAAAACATGTTATTTAACTACTTGAAATCAAAACAAATCAACGTCATTATTTTATAAAATTTGAGATCTTCTGTCGAGTCAATAGACAACATAAATATATCCGAACAAGAACTTAACAAATTCCACAGTGTAGTTGGTCGTTCTCCTAGATTTGAGATGAATTATCAGGATTTACAAGCTAAAATTTGGTAGTAGTTGGCGGTACTATGAAGATACGATTTAGAATCTCATGTTGACTTATATGTAGGTGTCGTACAATGACAGTATCTGTAGGAATGTTAGCTACGGGTCATTACCCTGTCGTTAGATAAAGTTATTTTTTACCTTATCTATTTTAGAGTTTTTTGTCTTGCTAACATAACAGACAGAAAATCTCACTGCCTTACGTACAAGATAAACTCATAAACCACTATCTACGCATCTTTTAATCCTTTGAATACATTTATTTGTATTATTTTTTTAATGAGTTGGTCGAGTAAAAAAATTTTTTTTAAATTTTCACAATACATCTAAAGGCAAACAAATTTTTTAACTTACGTTACTTTCAGAATAAAGTATTCAAATAACGATTATATTGGTTCTTTTATATTTTATTACATGTTATATCATTGAACTCACGACTTAATAGCGTATATCCGATTCCGACGCCACATAATCGCCACTAAATCTTTATTATATCACACAACTTTCATATAACTAACCTCAATTTGGTTGCACGGAACAATTTTTCTATAAATAACTGGACAGCCATAGCCAGTGTTGCCGTATTGGTTTCTTTTTTTCACAATTTTGAGTAAAAATTTGCGTCTAGCAGAAAAATTAAATCACTGTTGAGAATATTGGGCAATTTTTATGAGAAATTTATAGTGTTAATCGAATATAGTATATACCATTGAAGGTCGTAGGATGACGATATTTTGAGCAGAGAAAGGTCTTTTTATCGTCGATGTGCATACATGATACCACGAACTGATAACAGGAAATGGATTTAAAAGTTTATTATTTGGGTAAAAGAAAAAAAAATCTAATCATTTTGGAGAATGCTTTGAAATTTGGGGAGAAATAAAATAACGGGTCTGGCAACACTGGCCGTAGCTGTATCAGATAGAGCAGAGAAAGTGATGGAGCAGTTTCGTTGACCCCTGTATGCTGGTCGCGTGCGAAGACAAAATCAATTTTCTATCCACTCTCGTTCTCGAATGGATGCGTTACCGAGGTCCCACTTATTACAAGTTATGGCTATTATTACGAGAGCACGATAATTATAGTGTTAGGGTAAGGAAACACGTGCCAAGAGAGATGTTCAAGATGCAAACACGCTTTTTAATATACGCTGAACTGCATGTTACGATTGGTTCGTGTAGATTTTAATTTGTTTCGGATTGATTGAATGAAATCGAACATCAAAATGAAGCTTTATTCATGGTAAACTTTTGTTCATAAGTTTTAAATAATGTACATAGAGAGGAAGGAGGGGATTATGATAGGAATCCGATTGCTAATACTATATTGTAAGATCAACCTCCATACGTTCTTTCTTGAAACCATTGTGA